TTGGCAACTCGTCATCCAGTGATACATAAAACAATTCAACCCAGCCTAGAGAACATAAAAAACATCATCACCAAAAAACTCTCACATCTCAACAAAGCCTACCTACACCAGAGAATAGCTGAAGGTTCGCCATCTGCAACATGGTATCTTCAGGCAACCAAATTAGAAAGGTTAAATATCCCAAAAGGAATCCACAGGGAAATAGCAGTTAGGCTATATAGACTACGTCTTGGTTACAGATGCAACTGGGAGATTGGTGAACCCCGACAGAACATAAGAACATAAGAACATAAGAACAAAGGTAACTGCAGAAGGCCTATTGGCCCATACGAGGCAGCTCCTATTCTATAACCACCCAATCCCACTCATATACTTGTCCAACCCGTGCTTGAAACAATCGAGGGACCCCACCTCCACAATGTTACGCGGCAATTGGTTCCACAAATCAACAACCCTGTTACTGAACCAGTATTTACCCAAGTCTTTCCTAAATCTAAACTTATCCAATTTATATCCATTGTTTCGTGTTCTGTCCTGTGTTGATACTTTTAATACCCTATTAATATCCCCCCGGTTATGTCCATTCATCCACTTGTAAACCTCTATCATGTCACCCCTAACTCTTCGCCTTTCCAGTGAATGCAACTTAAGCTTTGTTAATCTTTCTTCATATGAAAGATTTCTAATTTGGGGAATTAACTTAGTCATCCTACGCTGGACACGTTCAAGTGAATTTATATCCATTCTATAATATGGCGACCAAAACTGAACTGCATAATCTAAATGGGGCCTAACTAGAGCAAGATATAGCTTGAGAACCACACCAGGTGTCTTGTTACTAACGCTGCGATTAATAAATCCAAGTGTCCGATTTGCCTTATTACGAACATTTATGCATTGATCCTTTTGTTTTAAATTCTTACTAATCATAACTCCCAGATCCCTTTCGCAATCCGACTTCGCAATCACAACACCATCTAGCTCGTATCTTGTAACTCTATCATCATTACCTAACCTCAGAACTTTACATTTATCAGCATTAAACTGCATCTGCCAATCCTTTGACCATTTCAAAACCCTATCTAGATCAACTTGAAGTGATAGTGAGTCCTCCTCCGAATTAATTTCCCTACCGATTTTCGTATCATCGGCAAATTTGCAAATGTTGCTACTCAAACCTGAATCTAAATCATTTATATATATTATAAACAACAGAGGTCCCAGGACAGAGCCTTGAGGCACTCCACTTACAACATTTTCCCACTCTGACTTGATTCCATTTATACTAACTCTCTGTTTCCTTTGGTATAGCCATGCCCTAATCCAGCTTAATATAGCACCCCCAATACCATGAGACTCTATTTTTTTAATCAGTCTTTCATGTGGCACTGTATCAAAAGCTTTGCTAAAGTCAAGGTATACAACATCGCAATCCTTACCACTATCAACTGCCTCAACAATGCTAGAATAAAAAGATAACAAATTTGTTAAACATGAACGGCCATTTATAAAACCATGTTGCGACTCAATTATTAATTTATGTTTTTCAAGATGAAGACGAATTTTATTTGCTATTTTAGATTCGAGTAACTTTCCCACAATAGACGTTAGGCTAATTGGTCGATAGTTAGACGCAAGTGATCTATCTCCTTTCTTAAAAACTGGTATCACATTAGCAACTTTCCAAAACTCTGGCACTCTGCCTGACTCTATTGATTTATTAAATATGGTTGACAGTGGGTCACAAAGCTCCTCTTTGCATTCTTTAAGCACCCTAGCAAACACTTCATCCGGCCCTGGGGATTTGTTTGGTTTGAGTTTTACTATTTGTTTAAGAACATCCTCCCTGGTAACTGCTAAACTCGTCAACCTGTCCTCGTCCCCACCCACATAGACTTGTTCGGCTGAAGGCATATTGTTAAGTTCTTCTTTAGTAAATACAGATACAAAATATTTATTAAAAATACTACTCATCTCTTCATCACTATCTGTTATTTGACCTGTCTCAGTTTTTAATGGACCTATCCTTTCCCTAGTCTTAGTACGATATAACTGAAAAAACCCTTTAGGATTTGTCTTTGGTTGCCCTGCTATGCGAACTTCATAGTTTCTTTTTGCTTTCCTTATCTCTTTTTTAACATTTCTAACCAGTTGTACGAATTCCTGTTCTAAAGTGACCTCCCCATTTTTAATCCTTTTGTACCAAGCTCTCTTTTTACCTATAAGGTTCTTCAAATTCTTTGTTATCCACTTTGGGTCATTAGTATACGATCTATTCAATTTGTATGGTATACTACGTTCCTGTGCTTTGTTTAGAATATTCTTAAATAAGTTATATATTGAATCCACATCGAAATCCCCATTTAAGTCACCTATCGCTGGGTTCATGTCTCGCTCCAAGACCGGCCCACACCCCATACCCAAGCCTTTCCAATCAATTTGACCCAAAAAATTTCTTAGGCTATTAAAATCAGCTTTACGAAAATCTGGCACTTTAACAGAATTTTCTCCTACTGGTCTATTCCATTCTATGCTAAATCTGATTTCTTTGTGATCACTGCTCCCTAGCTCACTCCCTATTTCGATGTCATTAATTTGCGTTTCCCTGTTAGTTAACACTAAATCTAAAATATTATTTTCCCGTGTTGGTTCCTTAATGTGTTGCGTAAGAAAGCAATCGTCAATTAATTCTAGAAAATCTTCTGCTTCACTATTCCCTGTTTTGTTCAACCAGTTTATTCCGCTAAAATTAAAGTCACCCATGACATAAATACTGTTAGATCTAGATGCTCTAGATATTTCATCCCATAGATGCTTTGCTTCCATTCTGTCCAAATTTGGTGGCCTATATATTACTCCTATTATAATATTATTAGCTTTTTCGTTTAATTCAATCCAAATAGTTTCTGAGTGTGGCTCTGTTTTGATTCCCTCTTTGAGACTACATTTCAAATTGTCCCTAACATATATGGCTACTCCACCTCCTCGTCTAATATATCTATCTGTGTGAAATAGTTTAAATCCATATATTTGATATTCAGCTAATAGTTCTCTATTTTCTACATTCATCCACGTTTCGGTAAGTGCAATAATATCTATTTTTTCTGTGCAGACAAGAGCATTTAATTCGTTAATTTTATTTCTTAGACTTCTACTGTTAGTGTAATATACCCTAAGTGAATTGTTATTTTGCGGACCTTCTCTTTCCCTGATCGTTTTGCCAATTCCTTTCTCCCACAAACACATACTTTTATTACCTCCTTCCTCCAAATCAATTCCCATACCTCTATCTACTAACAGTTTAAACCCAAACAAACACCTCTAACCACTTCTTCTAGCGAGTTCGCAACAGCAACAACCCCAGCTCTCGATAGATGCACCCCATCACGAGCATACATTTCATTTCTTCCATAGAAGTGTTCCCAGTTGTCTATGAAAGATATTGCATTTGATTTGCAATATCTTTCCAGCCGGCAATTGACACCAAGTGCCCTCGATATCCATTCATTTCCCACTCCCTTTCTTGGAAGAATGCCACATATGATCGGGATTCCTCCCTTGCTCCTAACTAACTCTATGGCTGTTTTATACCTCTGAATCAGTTCCTCACTCCTGACTCGACCAACATCATTTCCTCCCACGCTAATGCAAATAATGGGATTGTTCCCATTACCAGCCATAATATCATTCATGTTGTTTATAATATCACCAATGCCAGCTCCGGGATAGCAAACCCTTAACCTGTTCCCCCTATCTCTAGCACAAAACGTTCTATCCAAATACCTTATCTGGGAATCTCCCACAACTAATGTTTGCTTAGGTACTTCCTTTACTTTCTGAGGGGCCTGCGCTTCCTTTCTCTTCGTTGCTTTCCCTTTTGCGCGATCCACAGTCTCTCCACAGCACTCGTCCTCCAAAACGTCAAATGAATTAGAAGTTGCTATGGCGTTTGAAGGCGGTTTTATCAAAGTCTTCTTAAGGCCCCTGTCTTTCGCAACTCTCCAAGACGAGGTCCCTTTACTGCTGGTCTCCTCCTTCTTACTTCTGCTTTAAGCTGACGCACCTCCTCCCGCAGAGAGTGCAACTCTGTCCTCAGGGCCAAACTGTCACCAGGTCCTTAACTAAGCTTCATATACTATCATAATATCTTCTGGAATGTGAAGCAACCAATGACCTTAGAAGAGCTTGAAGAGTTCCTGAATCATGCAGTGGCCACCCTGAAGCCATCAACACAGCCACTCTCCTGGTCAACAAAGGTGTCCAGCAGCTGGACACCCTCATAAAGACTGTGAAGCAGTATCCTCCCCCACGATAACAGCTTGATGGTTAAATGCAACCTCAGAACACTGGGGGAAAAAAAAAAAGAAAAAAGAAAAAAAATTAATAATTACGGGAGACATCTCCCGTCACGCAGGGTGCAGTTGCACCTCCACAAATCTCCAGTATCAGCTCTTGATACTGGTAATGGCTCAAAAGGGCCACCACTTACGGGCTATTCATGCCCGTGCCACCTTTTGGGTGTCTTAATCTTTATCATCATCATCATAAGTCTTGATCAGTTATTCACCCTTTTGGTTGGGCATTAGAACATTTCTTTATTACTTGTCGATTCTGAGACAATGGATACAATCAAATATTCTCCCATGGATTTCGATATTTCTTTTCCAAAACTCCCACAATTTCTCATATCTATGGTTTGGAACTTCCCTTCATTAAATGATCCATACGAAATTCTAAGAGCAGTAAAATTGTCAGGGGAAAATCTTCATTATTTTATTACGAATGAGAGAGGTTCAGTGAGTTTATTTGACAGTAAAATCCAGCTTGGAGTTTTATGGATCTTAACTCTCTCCACGCATATGACGATGTTGGTTAGGATAACAGGGCAATGGGAGGACGTTATCTGGGAAATTATTAATCTTGCAAATACCTGGGCGACAAACAACAACTTAAATTTTGCCTCACTCGAGTCTACTGCCTTGAAATCCTGGGTACTCGCCATGTTCTGCGACCATGAAGCCTGCCCCAACCCGCACCTGCGGGTGGAACTGCTGCATTTGATCGGGATGTGGCCAGAGACGTACCTTCAGGAAGCCGCCTCGGGTATGCAGGCAGCTGCAGGGTTGGTCAACACTAGCCACTACATAACTCTGGACCATCTGATGTCCGGTTACTTACATGCGAGTCTCTTTGATCCTCTCAAGAATGTGTTAGATAGCCTTAATAAATGGGGACACCTAGATGGTGTCGCTGCTGCAGCTGTGGATCAGGTAAGGAAACTTAAGATTGGAACAGAGGCATACTTTTTCAACAATCTGGTCCACCTTTTTAAGCAAATGGTGGAGGCTACTCTAGCGGAATATCGAGCTGGAATAAACAAAATGTGCTCCTGTATTGAAGGGAATTTATGCACGTTCAACGAAATTTTGCATATCTATAAAATGTTGGTTGACACAACTCCCACAGCCTATGGGGTTCCCGGACTTGCTCAAGTCGCTGCAGAGTTCCTGGTTACTCTCACAGACTCTGCAGTTACAGTGTGCTCTGCATTACAGCTCAAGGATAGTAAACGTTCCAAGTATTCCAAAGAACTCGTCGCTGATTTAGGTGATATTTACCAAAAAATATCTGTAGAGGAAAGATTTACATCTGTTTTCCAGATTCTAAAACGTGACCATGCACAGCAGTTCTCACACCTTAGTAAACAGACAACAGATTTCTGCTTTTTCCATTATTTGTCAGAATCGCGTCAGGAATCCTCGGAAGCAGTCCCGGAGGAGTTTGTAGACAGCGTGACGCAGGTGGTGATGGAGGCGCCGGTGTTGCTGCTGTCGTCCAAGATGGTGATAGACGAGTCAAGGCTGGTCCGCCTACTGCTGGAGTCGGCCTCCGACCCCTTCACGCGCCACCCTCTTGTCCACGGCTCCTTCAGTCGTCTGCCCCACCTCCAGGCTGACATTCTGGCCTGGAAAAACACTCGTAGCGCTCTGCCACAATGAGTGTACATTTACGACAACCACAATATGATAATTTATGGCAACAATGACACTTGCAATTTCGGCAACAGAGATAGCTGCAGGAAATTTGATTAAGACCAAACCACATGGATGGAGAAGCGCCTCCAACTTTGCTGCTTCTGCATCGTGTGAGTTAAGGTTTCGTCATCATTATATGTTATATACTCACGCATTTTTTATACTTCTGTAAATTTAATGACTTTAATCAATAAAACATGAAATGGACAACCCACAGATTACCTTATTTAACCTATTTAACACAAACTTATGAATATTCAAGTGAAGAAATGTGCAAAATGGAGAAGTATGATTGTTGATTTATGAAACTTGAAGTGTCGTTGAATTGCTTCAAACGCAGGATAGACATAATTTATTCTTAAATAGACGTAAGTCGGAATTCCTACTTAATTGTCTTAAACCAAAGCATTTTTCTGCATGTTGTTACAAAACTGTTAGAACTCAGATCCCTGATTGATTGGTAGAGTTTAACCCACACAAAAGGTGGGAATTTGGACCCAAATTCTGGCTCTCTGCACCTATTCGCAGTTTGAAATTCCGAATTTTTATACCAAAAATCTACCAATTACTGAAAGCAGCGGTGGGTCACATTTTGCCCAAACCCCCCTACAGATTTCAAAACATCCCAAATTCGATACCTGAGCCATATTTTGGATCCAAATTCTGGCTCTCTGCACCTATTCGCTGTTTGAAATTCCGAATTTTCATACCAAAAATCTGCCAATTACTGCAAGCGGCGGTCGGTCACATTTTGCCCAAACCCCCCTGCAGTTTTCAAAATATCCCAAACATCCCAAATTCGATACCTGAGCCATATTTTGGACCCAAATTCTGGCTCTCTGCACCTATTCGCAGTTTGAAATTCCGAATTTTTATACCAAAAATCTACCAATTACTGAAAGCAGCGGTGGGTCACATTTTGCCCAAACCCCCCTACAGATTTCTAAACATCCCAAATTCGTTACCTGAGCCATATTTTGGATCCAAATTCTGGCTCTCTGCACCTATTCGCTGTTTGAAATTCCGAATTTTCATACAAAAAATCTGCCAATTACTGCAAGCGGCGGTGGGTCACATTTCGCCCAAACACCCTAACAGTTTTCAAAATATCCCAAAAATCCCAAATTCGATACCTGAGCCATATTTTGGACCCAAATTCTGGCTCTCTGGACCTATTCGCAGTTTGAAATTCCGACTTTTTATACCCAAAATCTGCCAATCTCCTTTCTTAAAAACTGGTATAACACATGTTACCAGGGAAGATGTTCTTAAACAAATAGTAAAACTCAAACCAAACAAATCCCCAGGATGAAGTGTTGGCCAGGGTGCTTAAAGAATGCAAAGAAGAGTTTTGTGACCCACTGTCAACCATATTTAATAAATCAATAGAGTCAGGCTGAGTGCCAGAGTTTTGGAAAGTTGCTAATGTGATACCAGTTTTTAAGAAAGGAGATAGATCACTTGCGTCTAACTATCGACCAATTAGCCTAACGTCTATTGTGGGAAAGTTACTCGAATCTATAATAGCAAATAAAATTCGTCTTCATCTTGAAAAACATAAATTAATAATTGAGTCGCAACATGGTTTTATAAATGGCCGTTCATGTTTAACAAATTTGTTATCTTTTTATTCTAACATTGTTGAGGCAGTTGATAGTGGTAAGGATTGCGATGTTGTGTACCTTGACTTTAGCAAAGCTTTTGATACAGTGCCACATGAAAGACTGATTAAGAAGATAGAGTCTCATGGTATTGGGGGTGCTATATTAAGCTGGATTAGGGCATGGCTATACCAAAGGAAACAGAGAGTTAGTATAAATGGGGTTAAGTCAGAGTGGGTAAATGTTGTAAGTGGGGTGCCTCAGGGCTCTGTCCTGGGACCTCTGTTGTTTATAATATATATAAATGATTTAGATTCAGGTTTGAGTAGCAACATTTGCAAATTTGCCGATGATACGAAAATCGGTAGGGAAATTAATTCGGAGGAGGACTCACTATCACTTCAAGTTGATCTAGATAGGGTTTAGAAATAGTCAAAGGATTGGCAAATGCAGTTTAATGCTGATAAATGTAAAGTTCTGAGGTTAGGTAATGATGATAGAGTTACAAGATACGAGCTAGATGGTGTTGAGATTGCGAAAGGGATCTGGGAGTTATGATTAGTAAGAATTTAAAACAAAAGTATCAATGCATGAATGTTCGTAATAAGGCGAATAGGACACTGGGATTTATTAATCGAAGCGTTAGTAACAAGACACCTGGTGTGGTTCTCAAGCTATATCTTGCTCTAGTTAGGCCCCATTTAGATTATGCAGTTCAGTTTTGGTCGCCATATTATAGAATGGATATAAATTCACTTGAACGTGTCCAGCGTAGGATGACTAAGTTAATTCCCCAAATTAGAAATCTTTCATATGAAGAAAGATTAACAAAGCTTAAGTTACATTCACTGGAAAGGCAAAGAGTTGGGGGTGACATGATAGAGGTTTACAAGTGGGTGAATGGACATAACAAAGGGGATATTAATAGGGTATTAAAAGTATCAACACAAGACAGAACACGAAACAATGGGTATAAATTGGATAAGTTTGGATTTAGGAAAGACTTGGGTAAATACTGGTTCAGTAACAGGGTTGTTGATTTGTGGAACCAATTACCGCGTAACGTGCTGGAGGTGGGGTCCCTCGATTGTTTCAAGCGCGGGTTGGACAAGTATATGAGTGGGATTGGGTGGTTATAAATAGGAGGTGCCTCGTATGGCCCAATAGGCCTTCTGCAGTAGCTTTTGTTCTTATGTTCTTAACCACTGGTTCCAACGAGTTCGCAACAGCAACAACCCCAGCCCTCGGTAGAGGGTCCTTCGATTGTTTCAAGCTTGGGTTGGGACATGTATATGAGTGGGATTGGGTGGTTATAAAAAGCAGCTGCCTCGTTTAGGCCAATAGCAGCTGCCTCGTATAGGCCAATAGCATCTACCTTGTAGGGGCCAATTGTAGCTGCCTCGTATGGGCCAATAGCAGCTGCCTCGTATAGGCCAATAGCAGCTGCCTCGTATAGGCCAATAACAGCTACTTTGTAGGGGCCAATTGCAGCTGCCTCGTATGGACCAGACAGTACACGAAACACTCAGTATAAATTGGTTATGTTTAGATTTAGGAAAGACTTGGGTAAATACTGGTTCAGTAACAGGCTTTTTGATTTGTGGAACCAATTGCTACGTATTGTGGTAGAGGTGGGGTTCCTTGATTGTTTCAAGCGTGGGTTGGACATGTATGAGTGGAATTGGGTGGTAATAAATTGGAGCTGCCTCGTATGGGCCAATAGGCCTTCTGCAATTACCTTTGTTCTTATGTAAATAGGGTTTTGAAATGGTCAAAAGATTGGCAGATGCAGTTTAATGCTGAAAAATATAAAGTTTAGAGTCTAGGTAATGATTCTAGAGTTACAAGATACGAGCTATATGGTGATGAGATTGCGAATCCTCGGAAGCTGTCCCGTAGCAGTTTATAGACAGCGTGACGCGATGGAGGCGCTGGTGTTACTGCTCTCGTCCAAGATGGTGATAGATGAGTCGACGCTGGTTCGCCTACAGCTGGAGTCGGTCTCCGACCCTTTCACGCGCCACCCTCTTGTCCACGGCTCCTTCTGTCGTCCGTCCCACCTCCAGGTTGACATTCTGGCCTGGAAAAACACTCGCATGGTTCTGCCACAGTGAGTGTACATTTACGACAACCACAATATGAAAATTAATGGCAACAAGGACACTTGCAACACAATGAGATTAGGTGTGCATAAAGCCTGAAAATTATGGGCTAACAGGCCCTTTTAATGTGCATTTTTGACTAATTAGCTATAAATGCAGTTTTTTAATTCCTAAGTTCGCACCCCTATACGCAGGTGTCTTTACAAGCAAAGCTAACTACACACAGTGATACCACATGAATATTTAACTGTCACTCTAAATGATTAAATTGCTTTAACCGAAATTCAACCATCGTCAAGCTGGTGTCCGTGCACATCACTCAGGCCCTCACCTCTCCTCTACCCTCTACACCTATATATTACCCCACCCAAATAAGTCTTGATCAGTTATTCACCCTTTTGGTTGGGCATTAGAACATTTCTTTATTACTTGTCGATTCTGAGACAATGGATACAATCAAATATTCTCCCATGGATTTCGATATTTCTTTTCCAAAACTCCCACAATTTCTCATATCTATGGTTTGGAACTTCCCTTCATTAAATGATCCATACGAAATTCTAAGAGCAGTAAAATTGTCAGGGGAAAATCTTCATTATTTTATTACGAATGAGAGAGGTTCAGTGAGTTTATTTGACAGTAAAATCCAGCTTGGAGTTTTATGGATCTTAACTCTCTCCACGCATATGACGATGTTGGTTAGGATAACAGGGCAGTGGGAGGACGTTATCTGGGAAATTATTAATCTTGCAAATACCTGGGCGACAAACAACAACTTAAATTTTGCCTCACTCGAGTCTACTGCCTTGAAATCCTGGGTACTCGCCATGTTCTGCGACCATGAAGCCTGCCCCAACCCGCACCTGCGGGTGGAACTGCTGCATTTGATCGGGATGTGGCCAGAGACGTACCTTCAGGATGCCGCCTCGGGTATGCAGGCAGCTGCAGGGTTGGTCAACACTAGCCACTACATAACTCTGGACCATCTGATGTCCGGTTACTTACATGCGAGTCTCTTTGATCCTCTCAAGAATGTGTTAGATAGCCTTAATAAATGGGGACACCTAGATGGTGTCGCTGCTGCAGCTGTGGATCAGGTAAGGAAACTTAAGATTGGAACAGAGGCATACTTTTTCAACAATCTGGTCCACCTTTTTAAGCAAATGGTGGAGGCTACTCTAGCGGAATATCGAGCTGGATCAAACAAAATGTGCTCCTGTATTGAAGGGAATTTATGCACGTTCAACGAAATTTTGCATAT